CTTGACGACGGATGGGCGATGGAGAGCGTCTAGCCATCTCCGCATATGAAGGAGAGCCAGGACGGTTTGAAGGACCTGAGCCAATTGAAGCCACAGGCGAAGGAGAACGAGAAGCGGACGAAAGAGAAGAAGCACTGGAAAGAGAGCTTGAGGTGCTAGAAGCACGAGAGAGAGCGCGAGAAGAACGAGTGTTGGTCATCTTTTGAATTAGCGTAGTGATTGTTTTTGCTTATTGAAAAAAATGTGATGTTTGTGCTTATATAGTTGAAAAACAGTGAAGAGTCAATAGCTAACAATTACTATTTTTATTATAAGTCTGAGAGAAGAACTAATAAATGAGGGTACGACCTGAATATATATGAGGGATGATGACTGTAAATGTCTGACGTCGTCTATTAGCTGAGAATGAATAAATAGAGAATTAAGAGATGTGTGATCTATGTAAACACGACAATGATCACTGCTGTCATTGTTACCGGCGTCTGTTCGATCAATCTGGGCAGGAACCAATGTACTAACTACTCTGCTTCCTCGAGTAATGCCAAGACACATTCTTTCATGTTTAGCCTTACTGATTCTTTTATTAAAGACATTAATTTTCTTTTTGCATTTGCTGCAGAAAAATGTTTTCAAATAAGTCATGATTAAGCTTTTAGAGATAAAAGTGATCAGACTGTTTTCCTTAGCCAGATAATTTAAATAGCTAACCCTCCCTAGAAAAGACTTAAAGCCCAGTAATACAGATTACTTAATTAAGGGTTTTACTGGACAATCACTGCGCATTTACTGGACATCTAATATTTCAGGGGAAAATTTCCCATAGTGAACCACAATACTTCCTGTATTAGTATGCGGTGTTGCTTCTTTATCTACCATGCACAAAAGGCATTTTAAAAGACATAAGGCGTAGATGACCAAGTTACTTAACTCATGATGGCTGATGATTCAACCATAATCTAGTCTTTACATCCAAAGAGTAGTTTAACATCTAGTAAGGCTAAACACGTTTTTAAAAGAAGAATTACGGCCAAATGGAGCAATGCAGGTCTTATCACGGTGGCATAAACAAGCAGCACTAGTACCCTCTCCTTATCAGATGCAATAGAGGAATGTAAAGTAGAATGTATGCTCTACTGTAAGATTATACTCGAGTTATTATAATGATTATCTCATCAAACACATCAGCTCTTCTTAATAAAGAATCCAATTCGCAAGTCATCGACTTAATAGCCTTTTTTCAATAACGCTAAAGCTGAATACAACAGTGGGTGTAGTTCTATATCAAAAGATTGACAGGAAGATACGCTAAATCTCCATGATAGCGAGAAGTCTTTCTAAAAGTGAACGTAGCTACTTAGCCACTAAGCGGGAACTACTAGCAGTTGTGTATACTTTAAAGAAGTTCCATTAGTACCTGTGGGGAAATCACTTTACCCTTTACACAGATCATAAGGCACTTACCTATCTACACACCCAGAAAATCGCTAATTCAATGCTTATAAATTGGTTCGATACGCTGCTTCAGTATGATTTTAAAGTCGTTCATTTGCCAGGTATTGATAATATTCTTCCTGATACGCTATCCCGTCTATATGAAATCGAGGAACCTGCCAATGAACTGGGGGGGGATAAAGCTCACCTTTTGAATAAAGCAGTTAGTAAACTACCTAGTGAAGACAGTGGTGAATATATGACACCTCCTAAAGAAGAACGAAAGTTAATTTTTCTACGTGAGCATCTTAAAGGACACTTTGGTTCTGATGCAATTTACTATGCTCTAAAACGTAAAAGTATCTACTGAAATAACCTCAAAGAGGACGCTGTAGAACTTGTTAAGAGTTGTACTCCCTGTCAACAATTTAACATCATCAAGAAGGGTTATAATCCATTAAGGCCCATTACTGCTAAGTTGCCTGGTGATAGTTGGGGTATTGATCTTGCTGGACCTATGAAGTCTTCACTCTCTGGTAACAATTATTTACTTGTGATGGTTGACATAACTACACGTTACTGTGTTTTGAAACCCTTGCCCGATAAGCAGTCTATGACGATTGTAAAGGTTTTGATCGATGTTTTCTCAAACTACGGATCCCCACGTGTAATCTAATCTGATAATGGAGGTGAATTTGTAAATGAGCTTATGCAGTTGCTGGCTGAAAATGCTGGTTATGATCATAGACTCATCTCTAGTTGCCATCCAAGAGCTAATGGAGTAAGTGAACGTTGGGTACAATCGGCTGTAAATGTAATAAAGAAACAAATCGAGGGTGCTAAAGCTGACTGGGATTTATATGTACCATCTACACAACTCTTCTTAAATGGTAAAGTAAATGAACGCACTAAGACGCCACCTTTTACTTTAATGTTCGGTCGCAACATGAATGACTTTGAAGATTATAGTCAAGAAAAAAATGAGGCAACTAAGGAAAAAATAAACAGTGAACTCCTAGCAAATATAAAGCGCTTAGCGGAGATTGTATTTCCTGCCATACATGAACGAACACAAATAATAACAAACAAACAGAAAGTAAGGTTTGATGCGTCACATAAGCTTATAACGATCCCTGAAAACAGCTATGTAATGGTAAAAGTAAACGTAAAGACCAGTAAGCTAGATCCTGATTATCAAGGCCCTTATAAAGTGAAAAGAATTACTCAAGGGAAATCGTATGTGCTAGAAGATGAAATGGGCGAATTATTACCTAAAAATTACCCACTTTCTACATTAAAACTTATCTCTCAAGATGAGCTTATGTCCACAGACAAGTTCTATCAAGTAGAAGCCATTCTGGCACATAAAAAGGAAAAAGGTAAATATATTTATAAGTGCAAATGGAAAGGGGAACCTGCTACCGACTTTGCTGATCCTAAATTCACTACTGAATACTGGCAAAGAATTGGCATAATACCTGAAGATATTAAAAAGAAGTATGGTATGAAATCTAACAAAGATGAATCTATTGACAATGTAAGTACAGTAATTCCAAATCAGGTAAAAGAAAGATGTCCTTGGATCTTAACGGAGACAGCCGTTCTTCTACAACATATAAAAGGGTTAGCAAAGGCTATAGTTCCAATAAAAGATCTAAACGGCATTGATCATACCTAGGAGGGGATCATGTCATAGAACAATGTCTGCTTAAGGACTGACATTGAGATAAACGATTGTAACCAGTATGAATAGAGTGAATTCATACATTATAAGATTACGTATACACACTTTTAGTGATAAGTCAAATTAAATAGAATCTCTCTTTTGAATATGAATCATTACTTCTTTATATAAAAGGATACACTTCTTTAAAAGATTATCCTTCTTATGGTAAAAGCAGTAACATAACCCAGATCATGAAATGTTAGTCAACCATATCCTCAATAATTATAACCCACGCTTAGAATATTGGCTTATCAGCCATTTGATAGCAACTATAAATAATATATCCTTAACTTAACTGCATGCTCCTTCTGTCTTTATCTCAGAATGAAGATTAATAATAAATTTTTGTCTTGTGTCTTATAAACCATTATATAACAAAATCAAGCACAGTTGGCGCTAAAAATCAAAATCCAAGCAAAAGCAAACATGTACCTCTACCTTCTGCTGAACTCCCTTCCTCCTTTTAACGGAAGCGAATTATTGCGCCCAGAAATATTTATTTTGTCAAGTATGAAAGGAAAACGAGCTGCACCTACTAGATGTATTACTGAAGAAATCAAATGAAAATGCAAACAATCTGAATTTGTTTATGTTGACGAGTATTTCATGAGTCAGATATGTACTAAGTATAAAATGAAAGAAATAAATAATTTCTCTGTTTCTAGATCAAAGCGAAGAGTACACTCAAGTGGGAATCTTGTGGTACGGTGTGGAATCGTGATGTGAACAGTACATTAAATGTATATGCTATTTTTGTTTACAAATCAAAACATGACAATGAAAGTTTTCCCCTTTCAAAAGACCTACAAAAGACTAACAGTACTCCTGAATTTAATACGCTGTCTATAACGGTGGTGCATTTCTTAACGCCTTGGTAAGTATAAAATGAACAGTATATTAAGTTTTTATTCACTAGCCTTCTAGTTACTATGAACTAGAATTGCCAATACGAAATTCATGACGAGTGGTACCTTATATAAGTAAATTATCGTTAAAAACGCATTTCATAGTAATACCACTTTGACTTATATTATACAAATAAATATTGTATTATAAGGCATTTTACATTAAATAACTTTCAATCGTCTTTCAAAAGAACATTTTGCAGTTTGGAAAGCATTACTTTTTTGGGTTTTGCAGTGCCTCTGGGTGCATATACCAGCAATATGTGATGTTTAATGAGATCTTTTATATAAGAGGCTTGCTAACATTTGATTGTGCTCAATAATTAGAGGTTTCCTCATGTTGAGCTCTATATATTAATTTTTATTAGAGAGCAACAGCAAAGACTTAATAAAATTTGGGATTGTTTAAGGCTCTTGATGGCCAAGGTATAAAGGGGTCCGATATAATCACGCAAGTCTGAATACTGTTAGCATGTCATACTTCCCAAATAAAAAAAGGAGCATTTTTCATATTAAATACCTTCACTAAATTTTGCAAAATTATTGGATTAACCAAGATATTTCAGAGCTTGTATCGTTGACCTTTACTTTTACCAATGTGTGTCTTTATTTAGTTTACAAGCTTTAATTCAAAATGAAGTCTAGCTTTGATTTTATATTGCTAGATTTTGGTTTTTCTCGTTGTGATGTTGTATGAGCAACCTGTTGTCCATACCTATAATAATCGCGATTTGCTGGATCATTGTCGCCTTTTGACTGTTGAGGGCTCTTTGGCTCATGGGGGTAGGGCTGATAGTCAGACCTAGAGTTACTCACATTGTTGTTTGTTTTCCATATATTGCTGTAAGATCTTTGCTTTGGTTGTGTAGAAAGCGGTTGCACATTATTTTCACTCTGAAATATCAAAAATTGATCTTTCCTTGGGTTTAGCCCCTGCTGAGTTCTTCTTTCTGCATGGAAGTTTATAAATTGGACAGGCGTATAAAATGCTTTTTGTGTATGCTTTTGTAAGTACGATAAATGCTGTTGTTGATATTGATGATCTGTTCTATCTACTTGCTCATGCTCGATCGGAACTGAAGACGATGATTGTTGCGTAATATGATGTAATTGTGGCCTTGCTTTCATCTCTGCCTTCTTTGGATGTACAAAAGCATCAGATTTATACTCATCATTCGCATTGCTTATATCCTTGCTATTATTTCTCTTGTTTTTTTCTCCAAGTTCTTCAGATGACGACAGTAAGTGGTGAATATTCGAGAGAGATGAAAATCTTGGTTTATATTCGATGTTTTGTGACATTGGTGGCACTTTAATAAAAGCATGACTATTTGCACTTCGTCCTTGTTCCTGTTCGAAGTATTGCATATCTGAATTAGGAGTGGATGTATAGCTGACATTTGCAATTGTTGTTGCTGTTGCCGTCGTCATTTTGCTTTCGGGTAAACCTTCAAATGAACATGCTTGTTGTACCCTAATAGACTTCTGGTCTCTTTCCGTGTCAGATTTATTTTGGCTTGTAGCAGGATAGGCTTCGAAAAGTGGGCTGCTGACGCGTTTTGAAGCAACGCCTTGATCTTTTAAACAATCTGATGATCGTATCGTCTCTTGCTCCTTTGAAACTAAAGAAGAGTAAGTAGACGAACACATTCCAGACACGTTCTTTAATTGCTGCTTTGCCGATAGAGAGCTAGCTAGTCTTCTAGTATGTGATGGCCGTCGCTCTGTAACATGTTCTAGCAAAGAGGACGTTTGAGCAGTTGTATCAGGTATATTTTCCACTTTTTTTTGTATATCAGCAGGTAGGTTATGTTTTTCTTGTGTGCTAGATTCGTTATTTGGAGATTGCAAAGGCGAATGCTTAACTGAAACAGCTTCTTTTAATGTACGTTCCATTGCTACTGTAGCTGTTACATCAGCTTGCGTTTCTTGTAATGCTGAGTCTATGTTATTCAGGCTTAATTCATTAAGATATTCTGTTTCGCTATCGCTTATAGTCCTTTCAAACTGAGCAGAATGATCATCTTCTACTTGTTTTGTTACTTGTATATCATTTGCAATGCTGTCATTCTCTGCAACACCTGCAAACTCTTTTAGCTGCTCTCCTTTACTCGTTATAGTGCCTTTCAACTTTTTCCTTTCTGGAAGATTTCCGTCAATCTCTTCGCTTATTTCCTTTTTAATAGAGAATGATGCTTCCGATGTTTTGCGTTTTGTGAAGCGTGCAGGGATATCTGCATCGTCATATGATGAGGACTGTCTTGAACTTGGTCTTGTATCAGGTATTATCTTCGAACTGGTCGCGGCAGCTAGTAAAGTAGATGTGGAATTGCTATCTGTCTTGCTCTGATCAGAACTGGGGGACTTTAAGGTATGTTTGGAAGGCAAAGGAGGCATAGGAAGCCCTTTTTCTCGTGCTTTCCAAGCAGCACGTACTCTATCCATGCACGACAGTAGCTGTTCTTTTGTAACACCATCTTTAATGCTGTTTAAAATCTTTTTCACCACATTCTCATCGTTGGCTATGCCTTTGTCATCCCTAAATCGCACAAACCTAGGTTGCTGATAAGTAAAAATATAAAACACAATAACCAACACATTACCTCCAGCCTCCTTTTCTAACTGTTGGCGCATAACCTTGCTCAACTATAGTTACTTCACAATTAGGATCATACCTAAACACGTATAACAAATTTAGTATATCAATAGCTGCATAGGTAGGTGCACCGACCTAAACTCTGCTATCCTTCCATCAGGCAAATGGCTCTTCCATCTACAATAAATCATTAGCTTTGACTCTAGAAATTTCCTCACTTCTTACTCGGTGGCTAAAGCAGGCTCAGGTTGAAAATGATCATAAAACTTGTAGGTTACACCATGTGACAATACTTCGATTGAATAGATCGGCTTATGTTCTTTGCTCCACCTGGCAGCAATTCTGAAGTCTACTGTATTTGATTCAGGCGGTTTCCATTTCAGTCTAAGAAAGAGAAGAAAGGGATGGAAAAGAATAGGAGTAAGTAAAAAAATGCATTGATCTATATGCTTTTTACAGGTTACAGTTTCTGACAAGTGCCTGATGTATATGGATATTTAACAGGTGTCCAAATGATGCCATCAGTTTTATGCTTTAATTTAGGTATTTGGTCAAATACTAAATGTAGTCCATAAGATCTTTCCATTTTTTTCAGTTCGACACTGATATAATTCTGTTAGAGATATACACATAAAGTCGCAACATGATATACCTAAAGGGTGGTCTATCTGTTTCTGTCAAATTTCTCAAGCCCATGTTGAGTGGTTGAATAACATCTTGCTGTAACATCTGTATTGTAAGATTAGATATTTCATGTTTTACTCAAGTTATCAATCTTTACTCCAAGTCTGGTATTGAATGAGCGCTGTACTATGCTTAATCCATTTACAACCATCAAGTCAAATATCAAGTATCTCCAGGTTTTCTTTAAAAGCATAAGTCATAGTTTGTATGAGTAATTTATGCTTACCTTTTTATCGTCAACATCCAATACCAGTTCACCATCCATTAGTGTATCTTTTAGATATTCATTCTCTCTTCCTCTAGTAGGGAATAATAGATTTGGCACATAGTACCAATATCGATTACGATCATACTATATTTAAGCGTGTAAGTATGAATACCGCGTAAAAGAGATGAATATTACTAGAAATGAAGCTGGTCCTTTTGGTGATTGAACAAAAAGTAATAAATAACGTACTCCATCTGACCTTTCGCAAACATAATAATCTTCACGTTCAATGTCAATCAGATGCTTGGATTCAAAACAAACGGGTTGAGATCCAGGAAAACTGTTGATGCTAGAAAGTGAACAATTATGTAAACACACAGCTGTGTTCGTATGTTTACCTGTCATTCGTCGTATGCAACAATTCCTTTAGTTTTTGCTGTAGTATCTTGCTATAAGTTGGATCTACGCGTTTTCCAATGAACTCTGGAAGTTGACCATTTTCTGAATTTGGCATGAATAAAAGCTTATTGCTCTGTTTAATCTTTCTGTGATAAAAATTATTATTCAAAGAAAAAAAATAAAAAGAAAAAAAAGAGAGAGAGAGAAAGAGAAAGAGAGCGAAAGGCGCACATTGAAATAAAATACTTTCTCTACAAAAGCCAGTACTTTAAACCACCCTTAGTAAAAATGTGTCGTGAGAACAAATTACATAGCTTTGATACAGAGTTTTATTTAAAAGGGTATTCAATATGACATTCATTAATCGACAATATGATGTTTATACGCATTAGTAATCACTAACGACGTAGACCAACATAAATGGGTGTACCAGAAGAGGTGTACTTTAACATGTAAATATACAACTGATAGATTTCCATTATTCAAGCTTACCCTATAGTTTGGATCAAATATCAGTCCATTCTTCAATATGACTTGACGATAAAAGTCTAATCGTTTTTAGAGTCTCTTTTTCATTATCGTTTCAAATAACTTACTGCTGCACTGATAACCTACACTATACGTTGTGACTTTAATAAGAATCATGTTATCAATGAGAGATAAGCCTTACCGATGTGGTATATAAGTAGCGAATAAGCCCCACTTTTAACGAGGTTAAATATATATTTAACGTTCATGCAGACACATATACATATATATGAATATATACCTTGTCTCCACAACCATGTTCATTAGCAATCTAATAATGCTTTAGTATCACATAATTATCAAACAGAAACTAACCTTTAGAAACAAGCTCTTTTCCTCATCTGACCAATCATGAAGCCATTGTTCTTCGCCTGGTTCATTATGTCTATAGAAATATTGATTCGGGTTCTTCTTAAACATCTTTAATGCATCTGCCTATGAGTAAATCATAAGTTTTCCATTCTTATGCTAACCCTTCTATTTATACTTTTGCATTTGATAAAATCCCCTTTTTTCTCTTCTTGCCCGTACCTGTGGGATCAAGAAAAGAAAAAGCACCCCCACCATTCTTCTCCCAAGCTTCTTTAGCAGATGGTTCAATGCCATGCTTGTTCATAATCACTGGATTTACCCACCCATAGAAATGACCGTCTACCCTAATGGCATTCGATTTGATTTCATCATTAAAGTATTCATCTGCTGTGACTAAACGGCTACCATCATAATCTTCAAGTGACTCACTCTAGAATAATATAAATATTGATAATAATCTATCAATTCGGCGCTACCTTATCTTCTGTTAAATCAGCATCCTCTTCTAAAGGGCGCGGTTCTTCTCCTTTTAGTCTTGATGATTTCCTAGTGGCTAGTACAACAGCACTGTTCTGTTTTGCTATATATTTTGTCAGTTACAGTAAAGGTATATGAGCATACTTACGTTTACTATGTACTTTGCGCTTTTTCGTGATTTTTTCAGAGTTACTATTGAGAGTTGTTGGCTTTACAATCGTCTTCTCTTTGAAATATGTCACCTTATAATGCAGCTTTCGAGAGCTGCAGTACGCGCTGATTTGACGCCCAATTGGATCAGTAATTGTTCATTCGATTGAATATTTATCAAACGCTGTTGTTCTATGGTAAGATATTGCTCTTTGTAAGCTTAAATTAAAGTTGAACAATTTCTAGTGAATACCATAAGACGTAAGTTCAGACATGAGACGCAAACAAGAAAAAAAAAGGGGGGAAGATGTCTTTTGTACACTTAGTGTGGCTTAGATAAAGCAGCAGTGGTTACTTTATTAAAATGCTAAATGAATTTTACATGGTGCTTTTCTTCTATAACTGGTAAACCTGGCCTTGATGATAATAACTAATGATATCAACCTTAAATTCAGCGAGCTGATGATAAAATAGCTTTAAAAGATGTGCTTGGTTGGTAGTCAGAACGTCCCCTTCATTACAAATAGTGTATGGCACAAGTAATGTTACAATACCATTTTTCAAGGCCGTTGGCATTCCAAGTGATCGAATAAGAGGTTCCATATTGTGAGGCATCGGGTCAACTCCACGTTTCACGGGACCGTCAGGTAAAGTGACTGTCTGTGAAGCAACAGCACCAGATCGAGCATAATCCGGCTGTACAAAATCATTAAAGTATGTTTCCACTTCTTGTGGGCCTTTGTTTGTAAAGAGTAGGCCAACTTCATTTGTTAATTGCTTTGGAAAACATTAGCTCATCTATGCATAAGTATATCACTATTTCGTACCTTTGCTATTCCAGACAATCCATCTTTATACTCTGTTTCGGGTGTTGTGCCAAGAGCTTTGGCCATAACTCGATTCTTGCCATAAAAGAAGCGAGAATCCTTAAAGTCACTACGAACCTGCTTCAAATGCGTATTACGCATGTCTTTGACTGAGAACAAGTACAAGTAACTAAAGTTATCAACGCAATCTTGAATCTAATAAATTGTTTAATTTTTCCTTTTCTTGCTTAGATCATCCTACTTACATCGCTGATCAATTTCTCTTTTCCTTCTCGGCCTTTTTTATCGGTTCTTGTTAAAGAAACTACTTAGGGTTATTTATTGCTATTTTATATGAACGACGGCTTAATCCTACCAACTGTGCTGCGTTTTGATTTAGGCATTTTTTTTTTCTGAAAGTAAGAAAAAGGTTCCTCTTCTTTTTCCCTCAAGAAATAAAGTGACATTTGTGACTTTCTATTTCAGCCACAGATATTTGCTGCATAAATTTCGTGTATTATTTAGTTTCACGCTTCCTCCATTATAAAATACTTTTAGGCTGTTGACTAACACCGACATCCCAAATCCCACAACATCGCAGTCGTCTTCTCCCACCACATCAGAATACGTCTCTACTAGTCTACCTGACGCTCCTTTTCGTAGATACGCTTCCGTTATTGCTTCTTCAACTTCACCCTCCTTGCGATCAAATAAATCTCTGAGAGCATCCACTTTGGGCAAATCTTCAACTAAATCAGTACCTCTTAAAGAGTTCCATTTATATCGTTCACAAAACGTTATCGGTACGGATAACGATAACGAGAGAGGCACTGTTTATCGTACAGGCGCCACAGATCACTCTGTCTTCTACCATGTGCCAGGCCATCCTAACCACCAGAAAGCTTCTTTGGCAGAAAAGATCAATGAAGTTTTCCCTTTCAGAGTTGGGTTGGGCCATACCTCATCTAGTGACTCCAGTGGCACCACCATTGAGATCTCATTGATAGACCCAGACGCCTGTAAAAAGGCTATTTCTGCTCCTATCACTATTAATGGACAATCATTTTATACTTCACCAGCTGTACACCCTGATCAGGCCTTACTCGAAGTTAACCTTTCCAAGCTACCCATTTGGCAACTAGACAAACTTTGTCGCAGTCTTCTGAACAATTTCTTTCGCTATGGTGTTGTTCGTGAAATGTCCATCTACTTAGATGATTGGTCAGGCTGCTGGTTCATTGACAATAGGCATCTGTATATAGAAAGGCGCAATTACGCCACTAAGCAATATGAAACACTCACGTATAAGATCGACCTAGAAGGCGGCAGTACCTTCTGTCTTGGTACATGGTCCAAGATGGGTAAACACTGTGTCTACTGCAAAGCATCCGACCACTGCAGAAAGGAATGCACTAATGTTCTGAAGGAGAGACGTTGATGTTTTACATGTGGCAATGAAGGAAATATAGCTCAAAATTGTCATAGGGCTATTACTGACAGTAACACCTCCAGCAAACGCAGACGAGACTCTACCCAAAATTCCAAAACCTTCAAAGTCGTCGCACTAGTTGCAATTGAACAAGCCTATCATAGAACCAATTGCCTCAACTGAGGTCATCTCTGAGGCTGAGAATGTCGACACGCCTACTGTCCAAGTCGACGCGGCATTTGACACCATCGTGCAGGTTGAGGTTCCTGAAGTTCTGGAGATTCATGAAGCTTTTGCAACATCAGTTCCTTCTCATCTATTACTGTTGATTCCACGCCTTTACAAGGCGAACCAAACAATATAAGAACTCGAACTACCAGCATGCAGTTACAGTCTAACCTCACTCCCTCTGAAATACTTGCTAGCTCTGTGCTTGTTGATACGGTCAAAGGATGTAAGAGATGTGGAGGCAAGGATTACCAAAAATCCAGTAGCCTTAAATGTCCCATGAACAAGAAGTATACTTCTGAGCCTATTGTTGATTTATATGCAAGACAGACTTTGGAAGATCACAGCACAACAGACCGCGCCTCGAAGGATGTTGTTATGGAGGAGGATTTATTTCCTTTCCTCCATTTCTATTCCATTACCCTACCTCTAAAAATTCCACAAAAAAAAAGCAGAAAACGCTAAAACAAACAAAAAGATACTATATTTAATTATGATTAATACAACATATAAAACTAATAACAAAAATGGTTCTTCGGAACACATTTTTATCAGCTCTACCAACTCTAAAAACTCATCTTGTCGATCCAATTTTTCCATTGACGCACTTAACTGCCGTGGCCTTCGAAAAACCGCTAATCCTGCAACCAGTGCTGAATTTATTTGTTATCTACGTACAGTATCCTTAGATATCATTGCTTTACAAGAAGCACATGCAAATACTGACGAGATTGCTCAATTTTTTAACATACAATTTCAAGCGAATACCAGCTATTGGTCCAATTACTGTAGCATTGTTTGTTTTTCACCGTTTCTTTCATTTTCTGAACCTACATGGGATACCACAGCATACACTAACTGTTGAAGTCTCACACGTCCATGAAGCTTTTGATCCAGTTTTTGTTACAGTCGTATATATTCTAGATGATACTGCTCGTCGTCATTCTTGCAATTTTTTCTTCTCAATCCTCAAGGTATATTCAATGCGGTTCCTGCTAGGCATATTCTTTTGGGGAACTTTAACTATTCATACATTGTTAATATATCTCCTCATAATTATTTGCATGCGCCTCTTGAATGGCTGGAATATATAGCTGAACATTATATCGACTCCACTATTGCTACGGGGCAAACATACCAACCTACCCTCCATCGTGGTAGCAGCAGCTCTTGCATTGATTATATTTTCATAAGTCGTGATCTGGCTCCATCCTGCTTAGTTCCTACTTTTCGTTACATACAACCTTGTTGGTCTACCATATGCTGCTTTTTCTCTCCCTTCATCTCACACCAACATCAAGGTTGCCAAAGGACAGACAATCCCCTCCTTCTGTGGGAAAAGGCATTTAGAGAGCGCACCCACGACTAGCTACTTCACGTTCATTCCGGGATCAGTTACATAAGGCAATCTCTGCCGGAATTTCTTCGTTTTCTTACTCCATGAGTGTCCAATGCTAATGGGACGCAACCAAAGCTATTGCCAAACGGGGAGCACAACGCTACTCTCGCCATCAAACTTTCTTCCTTACTAATGCTGAAAAGATGCTACAACATAAACGATCTGCAATCACCAAACATATTCTGGACACACCGACATCGAGTCCTCAGCTCTCGCCTCAACTACGGCTTGTTGAACATCAACTGGCGTCCATACAGTAACGCCACGTTGATAAACTTGCTCTGTATTCAGGCCTTCGGCGGTGAGGGCATGGTGAAACATCAGCTAGTTATCTAAAGCGTACCGTAACACAACGCCAACGTAAAAAGCTGTTCAAAGCCATAAAACATCCCTATACTTCGATTCCTTGTGCCTCTAGAGATAGTATGCTTGAGGCCCGCTTGTCAATTCTATGCCGATTTGTATTGTCCTGACCCTATTACACATGAGGCGGTTGATAATCTTCTCTCTTCGATTCTGTCAGATCTTACTCTTCCTACATCGGATCAATACTGGCTTACTAGTCCCCATTACCTGGGCGATCTACTGGAAGGCGTCTCTCGCTACTCAAAACGCAGTAGTCCTGCATTGACGGCCATCCTTACGAAATATTGCGCCTATTATTTTCCCATACAGCTTGAAAAGCATTAGTTTTACAGGTTTACAATGATGCGTTGTTAAAAGGAATCTTCCCAGATTCTTGACTCCATACCTCTGCGTCCTTGTTTCCAAATAAGATGACTTGACTGATTTGAAAAATTGGAGACCGATTTCTCTCATCAATACTGATGCAAAAGTCTTCATTCGTACTGTCTCTTACGTCGATTCGCTAATCACTCCACTTCAATCTGGTTTTCTACATGGTCGATCCATCACTGATAACGATTTGTTGGTGAAGCTAATCATGGCTCATACGCGTTCTTCCGACTCCACCGCAATTGGTCTATTGCTTGATCAAGAGAAAGCATATGATTGGGTCCATCCAGAGCACCCACAGCGGTGTTCTACAACACTTTGATTTCCCACCAGTTCTTGTTCAATGTTAGCCAATTTATTCTTCGGTTCCGGCCTACATATCAACATCAACGGTCACTTGTTGCAACCAGTCCCACAGCTACGCGGTTTACGACAAGGAGATCCATTGCCACGTGTTTTATTCAACTTGGCTTTCGAGCCACTGTTTCGTAGGATATACGTGGTCAGGCTTTTTAAGGATTCTCGCTTCCTCATTCGCTTTCTGCACCTGGCTACCTCGACCATAATATTAAGCTTCTTGCTTACATCGATGTTATTACTTGCTTTCTGCAATCACATACTAGCTTGCGTATCTTGAACAATCATTTGGCCACGTACTCAGCGGTTTCCAATCCCCATATTAATTTCCACATAACAGAAGCTTCGTGCTGTCTGGGAAGCACGCGATCTTTCAATCTACATGGCGAACCACACTCAACCAGAGCAACATCCACGCATGGCATGGTTGCAACGCTCCAGAACCCATTGTATACCTTGTATATCCAATTTTCCACAATTCACGACAACGAAATGTGTTTCAAAGCCGTTTGTTGAAGAAAATTGAAAGTGCTTGCAACATTCATAATCACCGCTCCTTGTCCTTCCGCAGTCGCGTCATCATAGCCAACTGTTTGGTGCTTTCTAAACTTTGATACGTTATTCATGTTGTCTCCGTGACGAAACAATTTTTGTCTTCGATCGTCTCTATTATAGTCAAGTTCATCACTGTCACTGTTTTTCCAAGATCAGCTTTTCAGCCATAACAGTTCCTCAGAAACTTGGCGGCCTTGGTTAACTGCATCCTTTCATACAGCAATCCGCGCTCCAGCTGCGATGGCTGCTTCCGCTGCTGGGATATTCTCATCTTTCGTCAGAGCTTTGGCGCCCGGAAGAGCTCACTTCTTCCATTGTTCTGCTTCTCCTAGCGGACTATCTCATTCACCTTGGAGAGCTTTCGATGCGGCCCCCAGAGCCTGTGGCATTAAGTTCCGACTTTCGTCTTTTGTTTCCCTCGCTCCGTCCCTTTCTGTCCAAAGACAGAGAGCACCTGTTGTATCTTTTGTATCAAGCCATGGATGCTCTTCCCAAAAATCTCTCTACTGTGGTTATCAACCCAGAGACTGCCATGCACATTCCTCTTGGATCCACCGTAAATCCAATTTGGGCTTTCCCGCTTTGTCCCTCAATTTTAAAGCTTCCAGCAAGTAGTGCGTACATCATTGACTCAGAGTTCCATTTTACACGACCACGCAGTAATATAGAAATTGCTCAGTCACCCAGACTTGTTAAAATGTTTCTGAAAGCGGTTCGCGATGGTTACCTCCAACTGGTCCCTTTCTTCTTACGTACGTGTATAGCACAATCCTTAGCTCGCTTGGCCTCTTCTGCCTATATACCTGTACTACATCATAATATCGATGTCAGTCGGTTTATCAAAGCCTGTACACTCGTACCTTCTGGGAAAGATATCTCATCCAAAGGATTTCGAAAGCTTTATCGTTCGCCTACCCCAGAGTCACTTTCTAGTCTCTCCTCAACGAAATTGCTCCCATTTTGGTGTTTTTCTATTCACCTGCAAGCTCGTACTGTTTGGTATCAGGCCTTGCATGACAAACTGGCCACCTGCTCCCCTCTTTTCAAGCTCCTTCCTGAATTTGTGGATTCTCCACAGTGCACCTTCTGTAATATTTATGCCGTAGAAGGCATCGCCCACTCTCTATATAATTGTCCTCCCAAGCTATTAGTTTGGAAGGAGCTGTGGCCCACATTATTCAGCAGCCAGTTCTCTGCCCCTCTGCTTAAAAGAGCCTTGTTCAAGCTGGAATCCGCTGACTCTTCCGTCGAAAACGAAATACTTCCTGCCGCTGGAATTGCATCCATCCTTTTATCCATCCTGTGTGCTCACTTTAACTTGGTTTTCAACTACTAATCCTTTGTTCCTTCAACGGTTATCTCTTTTGCACGTTCCATCTTATTGACATATTCACACGAACACCTGCTACAATCGGGAGGAACTCTGTTCCCTCTACCTCATTTTTGTTTATAGATTTCCCTTCATTTCACCCAAAGCACATGTCTACATAACCACTCATAACAACTGCAAGCGACACCAGATAATATAAAATCAACACAAAAAAAAAAAAAAAAAAAATTCAAAATCTACAAAGTGACTTTTCAATTTTCACTATAAATTGAGTCCCGTTGACTTTTACGACTTAATACTTTTATCTTCAACAAATATCACACCCATGTCAATCTTAGCAAGTTACGCCGCCCGACTTCTTCGTCGTCGAGCGGTGCTTCGCAAGAGGTTGATAAGAAACGTCCTGGTGCTTCTCTTCGTACCAAACCCCACTCAACACCTGGTAAGAAGTATTGTAGCTTCTATAATACTTCGAGCCACAGCGACTCCGAGTGCAGGCTGCTGAAGAAAGAGAAAGCTTCTTCTGCTTTGTCTGCTCCTGGCGCCTCTTCTGCCTCCAGATGGAGCCCCACCAACAAGTCCACTGGTTTCAAGCCTTGGAGAACTGGTAATCCTTGTCATTCTTGTGGTGATCCTTGGCACGTTGGACACCGTTGCCGACAGGTTTCAAATCCTATCAATGATACCCAAAAGACATTCAGAGCAATGAGCATCTCTTCCGTTCCTCCTGCTTCTTCTGCTTCTCCTTCTGTTGGTCCGTCCAGCAATGATCCTTCTGGTGGTATCTCTGCTGCCAATGCTACAGTCTCTATTCCTCCTGCTTCCGCTTCTCTTTCTGTGTCGCTCCCCGCTAAGCATATGCAAATTGATCAAGCTAGTGCTGATGCCGTTGCTATGGCTGAAGCTGCCCAGGCCTGTAAGTATATCATGCACCCTACATTCTCAATCGCACCTAGAGATACTAACACTACGTATGTTCCAATTGCTGTAGAGCATATCAAAAACTGGGCTATGATAGATACCGGCACCGTCTTTTCTTGTGTTTCTTCTTTCTTCTGTTCTGCCTTGGGCTTGGTACCTTTATCTCCCAAGTAAGGTATTATTAGGCCTGAACATAACGAATCTACAACGTCAAGTCGGTTTGGCGAAATAAGACATTATTTTTCATAACCCAATCCGCCTCGCTTACGTCTTTGAAGCGTTTGATTTTACTAGTGATGCTCCAATTTGTTTAGGTATTGATATTCTTCCTAAGCTACGAATTGATTTAACGGGATTAGCAACCTCTTGGTTAAGCTCTAGCAATCCTAAGATACCTGATCCAGTTGATCCTGCTCAGCATAAGCCAAATGAAGCTCCTGTTGGTTCGTCTAAGGAACGCACACATTTGATGAACTCTCTACAACCTCTTCTTGACGCTAATTCCAAGATTCTCATGTTTTCTCATTGCAATTTACCTGGTGCCATTATCACTCTTGACACTAAACCCAGTGCCTTTGCTTTACGTAGGTAATATGATATCTCACTTGCATATGAGAAGTTATTGGATGAACAAGTTCAAACGTGGTTGAATGATCATGTTATCGAACCAACTCCTGCCAATACTAGGTTTAGCAATCCTATTCTTTTTGTTAGTAAGAAAGATATCCACGGACAATATACTAAAAAAGAGCAGTTATTGATCCACGTCTTTTGAATCCCATAGTTAAGAACGCTGACAGAATGCCTTTACCTCTTATCAGCGATATTCATCAACGTATGGGTTCATCTACCATCTTTACCACCTTCGACATCAAGCAGTGCTTTCATCGTTTTCTTATTCAAGAATCCGATAGACCCAAAACCGCCTTTACTGTTCCTAGAACTGGCATGCAATATCAATTTCGTCACTGTCCTTTTGGATTGACAATTACTGGTAACATCGTTTAACGTATCCTTACCAACCTTTTTGCTGATCTTCCATACACTGCACTCTACATTGATGATCTGTGCGTATTCAGTTCTGGATCCATGAATCAACATATGGAAGATGTTCAAGAAGTTTTAAGACGTCTCACATCGGCAAATCTCATCATCAACGTCGAAAAGACATACTTCGCTCAAAGTTGTGTGAATGTTCTGGGTTGGACTATTGGTGACAATGATTCACTCATTTCTGATCAACGCAAGTTGTCAAATATCGATGTTTGGCCTACACCTACTACTGGTAAACAGGTCATGAGTTTTTTTCGGGCTCGCTAGCTATTTCTGTACAAGTGTTCCAATATTCTCTCAGCTCACAGCTCCTTTTGACAGACTTAGATCTCCAAGTTCTTTAAAAAAAAAAATTTGGAATGAATCCCACAATCGAGCTTTCCAGAATATCAAGATTGCTTTGATTAATGCTCCTGTTATCAGCATTCTTGATCTCAAGTATCGCTTCTACGTCGCAGCATATGCTAGTGCTTATGGTATCGGTGGTGTCATATACCAGGTCATCAACCAAGAAGTTAAATACAACGCTTTTGCGGCAAGAGCTTTCACAGCTACGGAACGTCACTATCCTACCAACAAGTGTGAATTATTGGCAATAGTTTACATGTTTGACAAATTCCACAAATGGCTCTATAACAGACCATTTACCTTGGCCACTGATCATAAGTCTGATTTATATTCACACACAAGTGGTTCCAAATGCTGCTATGTGCAACTGGTTTGAACACTTGTTTGAGTACACCTATGATATCGTTCATTGTCCTGACATTAAGAATGTTATTCCTGACGCACTTAGTCACTTATTCCCAGATGAATATTTGGAGGAAGGTAATAATATCATTAGTGTTGACATTAACAACATCAGTAGCAAGAAAAAAAGGAAAATCTGCTTTTAACGAAAAATCTAAAAGCAATGATAAGTGCGCACAAGTAGTCACCTGTACCCCACAAACCATGCTGCATCGTACTTTGCAATATGAAGACTTTATTACATCTCTTCTTGAGGAAAGACGTGATATCATTCTTGGTTCATTTGCTTGGTCATTTTGGAGTTAAAGCTGTTGAATTGGCCATTCATGGCGATAATCTTCATTGAACTAATTTAAGACAAGACATACAGGATGTTATCTCACAGTGCCATGAGTGCAAACTCTTTAATATTGCTAAAACAGGATATCACCCTCCTAAGAGCATCCTACCTGATGGTCCATTACAGTAGGCGCAACAACCTGGACAACGTTCTCATATTTTCGCTTTTTGCTTGCCTACAAGGACGACATTTGCTTCTGTACAAATGACAGCCTCAACAAACGTTGCATAGCGTATAGTCATATTGTATTTAAAAAATAAGCCTAATACATGAAGGCATTCTTGAACAACGCTCTAAAAACTTCGCGTAGTCGGCATTTTCAAATTCAGAATTCGGCTATTAAATTTTAAACTTCACATTCCTCTGCAGTAATATGAGATATTACAGTACTGTACATTCCAGCTAAAACTACAATCAATGTAGTCGTGAGTTGTTATGCAAACGGTGATACTTCTCTCTTATTCTGTATAACAACCTTTGCTTAAAAGTCAACCATTACTATCCACACTTCTTCTCTTAATCGCCTAAGTGTTTACCGTATGGTAAGCAGCAATGCATTAAGCTCTCACTATTGGATAGCAATGCCCCTGAAGACATTGCAGCCGAGCTTATAGTATGTTTAGCGGCAGTTAGACGATATACTAACCAAGTGATTCTGAACAGGCAGCAAAATCCAGATGGAACGACAGGTATTATACTAAATTGTGCAAGGGAATATATCAACCTACTTGCAATCCGAGGCCATTAACGCATGACAAGCGAGATTCCCCGGATTTTCGAACAGTTGGATCTGCCGATATCGTGCTCACCAACAAATACTGTTGCCAAATCAACGAATGTTCGAGTTTTCATCAAAAAGAAGACGGCACTTTTTACAAACAAACCTACGAAGCTTCGGTTAGAAAAGGATAAGAAAAAATTGGAACTGTACAGTTGATGCGCAGAGATGAGTAGTTTCTACAGGTAAGACTAAGCTTAGCATTCGAGGCTCAGATGGTTACAAGTACTACTAGACGCAAGGAGGTAACCCATTGCGACCACATCACTTCGATATAACTGTGACGCATAGCGGTGGCAGTTCGATACTTTGGAGGCATGCAATGCTGCAAAGATCAGGGCGTGCATGGCAGGTATACAATGAAAGTACTAATTACGACAATTACCAGCATGTATTAGGCACTATGCGTGTGAAATTGCTGACATATAACGAAACAGATAAGAGCATTGCTGATTTTCAATACGATAATGATCCCAAGTACCAGTCCAAATCTACAGAAGCATGGCTGACAATAGAGAGCGTAGGGCGTATAGTAAAATGGTTAAGTCAAAGTCCCGATCGAGATCCATTACAGCATGCCCGGCGACATTAAAGGCTTAAGTGTAACCCTCACGAGGCAGCCATTGGCAAAGGCGAAGAACTCTGGAAAAAGCTATATAGAGAAAGGAACCCTTTCTGTATGGATGATCTTAGAAGGTGTATCGACAGTATGTTGTCACAAAAGACGTCAGTTACTAAGGCAAACAGCGGATCAATGTAGTACTAACAAATGGGATAGCTTTTTTCCGATCTCGGTAACCTTATTGTTCACCTACCAGCTATTAATTTTCCAGCGTACTCAATGCAAAATAAAAGCCAACCGTTTCAAAAAATTCTGCATACATACAATATGTTGTGTTAAGGTTGTCGGGCGTTGAAACTCCATATATAGAAATCTTTGTGAAAAAATGCGAAATTCTGAAAAATGTTGTCCAGGTTGTTGCGACTACTGTAGATCATTGGTACATGAATCTTAGTGCTTTCAACTGTACGTCTTCTAGCGGAAATAATTTCTTACCAGTTATGGTAGATTTATTTTCTCGCTTTACCATCTTACAAGCTATCCCGGATAAGCAAGCACTTACAATCGCTAAGGAGCTTATTGGATTCTTCTGTATGTTCGGCTGACGTAAGGCCATTGCTAGTAACAACGGAAATGAATTTACTGCTACCATGGTTACTGCAATGATCAACAACCTCGGTATCGATAAGAAATTATCAAACCTTTTTAATCCCCTTGGTAATTCAGTTAATGTGGCTTTTTAGGATTAGCAAAGCGAACCATTATCAAGCAGTTACAAGGATGTAAAGAAGCTTAGAATTTATATGTTCATATAACCCAATATGCCATGAACATAAAGTACTCAGACTTCATAAGAGTCAACCTTACATTGTTATCTTTAACAAAGTTCCTCATGATATGAGCGATTTTTCTCATATTAAACCAACCCTGCGAAACGTGGCCATAGATGCAAAAGTCATCGAACAAAGGTTCAAGTAAATTCGTTGACTAAGAGCAGGGATAACTTTTCATGGATAAAGAGTATTCAGAAAGCCAGCAATACTTACCTCTGAAAAAGGATAGAATCATCCATATCCCTTTTCCGCTTAACAGTGAAGTCATGGTCAAAAATGTAATTAGAGAATATAAAACAGCCCTTGTTTATGAAGACCCTTTTACATTAACAGTTTTACAAGGAATGGGAATTATATCCTCGTAGATAAACAAAACGATTTACTTTCATGGCACGCACCTATATCACACATTAAACTTATCGCTCCTCCAAGTGGCACAAGCTCTGCTCCTGAGCCATTCAATGAATAGGACAAACATTATGAGGTTCAAGCTATTATACAGCATAGAGGAACTCCAGGTAATTATGAATACCTTATTCACTGGAAAGACTACGACGACCCCAAAGATCACACATGGGAACCTGTGTCTCACATAGATGACCCTAAACTTATTGAAATATATTGGGCACGCCGTAATGCAGGTAATTCCGTTTCTAAACGAGCTTCTCTACCTAAACGTACCATTTCTACTCGTGACACTCACAGTAGAAATAAGAGATCAAGGCGTTAAGTCGTTTAAGTAATCATTATCTTTTTTTTTTCCCTAGTTTTTTCCTAAAAGGTTTTATTCAGGTGATTTTTACGAACAATGCTACTATGATCTACCTTTAACATCTACATCATCCATTACGCATCTTATCGCACACTGTGCATGAATACCTTATTATCCACAAATATTTATTGTTTCTTTTACCGTTTAATTCAGACTAGGAGGGAGCAGTGCTGTGCCATCACAGCATTATCAATAAATATTTGTAATAGTCGTTACTCGGTTAGGAGTCCTTCCATATATAACCTATCATATGCGAGCTTACTCTTAGAGCGCCGTTACAATGCTTAATTAAACGTCCATGCTCTAACTTCCAGGCCAACGGTTCCTTATTCGACAAGGCATTGTCAGATCATGTATCACCTCATCCACAAGGCACCTCAAACATACATCGAACCAATAGTTAATACTAGTTAGGTTCTTCCCAGTTATTCCCATTGTAGCTGGGCGCTTATAGGTACGCTCTCGATATCCAATTATCATTATTGATTGTAGATGTTAAAAAGTATAAATACCATTGTTTTATTCATCGTAAATAAAGATATCATATATTTCAGTCTCACTGACTTATTGTCCTTTTTTCTATTCTTCTTATTATTCCTAGCTTTTGTCTCTTACCTTTGTATTTGGCAAAGCAAAATCTATTTAAATTCTAAAACTTCTGAGCACTTAAATATAGATCACGTAATTAATCCAAATTATTCTAAATGGAGGTTTACACGAAATTGCATTATATTTCATCGATCTTTAGTTCTGTAAAGCTAACCAAATACAACTCCTTTTTTCTTTGTTTCAAATATGCATTTCGTTAAAGAATCAACCATAATGAACCAAAACTCTGCTAAAATCAGCTATGCACGCTATGCGCAAAGTTAATACAGCATGAGATAACTTGGGGTTGATTAACGAATAGAAAGACAAAAGACAGGGACAAACAAGTATTTGTGAGAATTCGTTTATTCCTGAGAATTGAGATAATCCAAAAATACAATGGAAAAAAGGGCTCTATTTATACTTTTTGATGTGATGCGATATGTCTCGAATATATAAAGAAGTGATAAGGGAAATGTGTGTCGATGAGTCTCTATATAACCTCTTTATTGTATCTTGAGACGAGAGAGAGCTCATTATTACAAACAGCGTCATTTTATATGAAGATAGAATTATTAAGGAACCGATTTAATTATGTCCAATAATAGTTGGGCATATCGCGTTATATGTTAATAACGTATATTGCTGTCAGTATCTTTGTATTATTCATTCTTAAAGTATAGATTTATAGTAATTGTTTTGAACGGATGGCTCAAAATTATAATCAATTAAAATATAAAAGGGCAGCGATATAAATTAAAATCCTTTGTTAGAGGATTTAATTTATAGCGAAAGAGGATCCGGGTTATGGAAGTCTTGAGAGTATTCCTATTTATACTATTTCAAAGTAGATAAGCGCTGATATAATAACTAGATGACTCGCTTAAAGAATAACCAATGATGGAGATATACGCCTGTCAAGGTTCTAATTCATTGATGAATTATGAGTGGGAAGCAGACAAAAAGAACTAATAAGTCAATGACTTTCAATCAAAGAGTTTATGTTATGAAAAAGAAGAGAAAATTTTTATATCTGGATAAGAGTATATATTCAAAGAGAGAGAACCTGAGTATGAGTCATTGAAACTGAGATCAATATTACTATAGTGAATATGTGGATATGTTATTATAAAATGTTAATAGCTACTGTTAGAGAATTGAGGCTTATATCTTATTGTATGCTCTCGTCTGATACGATAAAGGAGCAGAGAGTAGAATGTATGCTCTACTGTAAGTTTATACTCGAGTGTTATGATAATTTATTTCACTAAACACGTCATTCATGCAGGTCATGTAAGACAAGGAAAGTTCATTGTTCTGTCATTATTACCGTCATAACTATATTTAGATCGGTTCACAAGATTTATGAGAATTCAGTGTACTTACTGGCTAATCTAGCTTCTTGGTAAAAGGTGATAATCTCGAATAAGAGCATCATCATCTTTATACACTTCTATACTTTAGTTTATTCAATCATTATTATAGTCAATGCTTATAGAAGTGTGTTCCTTCACAACAGCAATTTTGTACGACAAGATTAAGTATTTATAGAGTAAATACGACAAAGTGCACAATTTAATACAATAAAATCTAATCAAGGTTATACAACTCTGAATTGGGATTAATGTATTGAATCTCAGGTGTGATAAGGTAACTTTCTCAACAGATAAAACAAACAAGGAAATACTTTGGAACGCTTTATTAGGAGAAAGTTAGATCATGAACAAATTACATGGAATAAAAGGCTCTATTTATACTTTTTGAGATACACGGCTTTTGGGGAGATCTTCTATCGAGTTAGTACTGCTCATTGGTTAATTCGCGATATCTAGATGGTGACTAAACTGTGGATGCTGAGAATACCGCGATCTCACGTAGACATGTACCTTAGTTAGTACTCCGACCTCTTTTAAAACAACCTAATTTCTTTTTGCTATGAGCTCTTCCTCTCACTTCTAATAAAAGGATAAAACAGAGACTCATCACTTCTTTGCTTTTATTCTACACATTACCGAGTACTAACAACAACAACAACCAATACCCCACAACTATAATTATTTAGCTGCAATGGACACTGAGATAATTTGAGGTAGATTTGTTATAAAAGACAAAAGACAGGGATAAACAAGTACTTGTGAGAATTCGTTTATTCCTGAGAATTCAGATAATGCAAAATACAATGAAAAAGAGGGCTCTATTTATACTTTTTGATGAGGGTTAAATCAAGGTACAATTTGATTCGTTCTGCTACGGTAATGATTAAAGCTGCGGTGCCTGGCTTACGAGAATGATCGGGATGCTTACTAAGTTACTCTAATTGGTTATTCTTATTGTAAAGACTATGCATTAGAATAGTGCTTATAAATCACTTTATATTTCATATTGACTACGCACAGACCCTGTCTTTACTTATTATGGAAATTATAATCTTCGTTCTATAACACTATAAAACTCGGATCAGTATCTCTCCTCACTGTCTAGGCTCCATATCTATCTTTAATAATTGGTCAGGCACATGATGATGTGTCGACTGAATTGACAAAGTACTTTCTTATCAAATAAGATTTTAGATAATACATGTAATTAAGTCAAATGTAAGCTCACACGTAAAGATTAGTATTAGACATGGTCAAATACGGCAAGTTGGATGCCATTCCAGTAGGATTGACAGAGGTAAAGGGCGTCTCAGCATTTACCAATTCGATATTATGATTATTATAGTGTTTCTGGTGGACAGGCTTTTCTTGGTAGATCAAAGCTTGATTAGCATTTCTGGGAATAAACGGATTATCCACCATGGCAATCTTGCGAGGTCTATTAGCATTCCACCATCCTTCGGCGTGTTGTAACCGGTCTTTCATGGCCTTGGAGCTGCTCATTATACAGAATTGCTTGATTTCATGTAGCAACTGTTTTGCCAAGTAGAAAGGTAAGAGACAAAAGCTAGGAATAATAAGAAGAATAGAAAAAAGGACAATAAGTCAGTGAGACTGAAATATATGATATCTTTATTTACGATGAATAAAACAATGGTATTTATACTTTTTAACATCTACAATCAATAATGATAATTGGATATCGAGAGCGTACCTATAAGCGCCCAGCTACAATGGGAATAACTGGGAAGAACCTAACTAGTATTAACTATTGGTTCGATGTATGTTTGAGGTGCCTTGTGGATGAGGTGATACATGATCTGACAATGCCTTGTCGAATAAGGAACCGTTGGCCTGGAAGTTAGAGCATGGACGTTTAATTAAGCATTGTAACGGCGCTCTAAGAGTAAGCTCGCATATGATAGGTTATATATGGAAGGACTCCTAACCGAGTAACGACTATTACAAATATTTATTGATAATGCTGTGATGGCACAACAGCAACCCTGCCCGGAACCGGCTTTGAATTACTGTTTGGGATAATGGAAAGATGTAGGGCAGAATAAGAAAAAGACAGAAGTACTGTTAGAGCTGTGTATATCCTTTTTATAGAAAAGATATCCAAATATGATCTTTTATTGATATGAAAATCGTCCTCTATTTATACTTTTTCTTCAACGGGTAAACCTGGTTATCCTGGAACAATTAATAATCCTTTTTCATAGATAATGCTAACGATCAATTCGCCTAAAGCATCTTCCTGTTTGCTCCTGATCTTATTGGATCATTAAATGTACCTGCCTTACTGGATCAGATATAAAAGTTTTCCAAACAGAGATAACAATAGCAATTAGGGCCCAACGTGTCGTATTTACCTTACAAATACTTGATCTTGTCGTATAAGATTACTATAAATCTATACTTTAAGAATGAATAATACAAAGATACTGACA